CGGGGGGCGGGGCGGGAGCACGCACGGAGCGCGGTTGGGGGCGTAGGGGCGGCCCGGGCGTGGGGGCGGTGCGCGGCCGCGCCCTCCTTAGGCCGCGAGGCTGCTGGGACGCGCGCTAGGGAGGGGGCTCCCTAGGATGAGGGCTGCTCCGGCACAGCTGTACCTCGTTTCCAGCCGCCTCATCGCGGAGTGGGTTTGTGCGGCGCCCCCCGCCGCGCACACGCACGCGCTCGGGGGCGGGGCCGGGACGAGGCCCCGCCCCCGGGCCTGGCCTCCAGCACCGCATTCCGCCGCACCTACACCACGGCCGGACGTTCATCCTCCGAGCCCGGTATCCTCCCGGGACCTCCCCGGAGGTTGCCTCGCGGCAGACTTCTCACCGCTGCGCCTCGGCGTCGCACCCATCCTTCAAACACCCAGCCGCCTGTGGCTAGCGGTGCTCATGCAGCCCAGAGCAAGGCAAGGGCGTTAGGTGCCACAGGGTCCCTGAGGATCCAGTCCTTCGCTGTTTAGATCGTGGCTTGACCCATTTCCGGCTTCGGGACCCTAGACCAGAAACAGTCCCTCCGAGCCCCAGTCCCTTTCTGTGTAATATAGAGGAAAGTATTTCATTGTCAGGATTGCCAGGGGTCCTTCGTCCATGTCATGTATTGACCGTGTCAGGCTTCTTAACTACCCTGTATTCATTTTTTTATGGTGTTAAAATAATTACGTAGAGCTGTTTTTTGCGCCACAGTCATTGGCTTTTGAATTACTTAAGTGACAGGCTGAAAATCCGCCTTCCACACATGAAAATCCCCACCATAATCCCTAATGGTGTCTCCCGCAGGTTTAGCTGAGGAGAAACTAAAAGAAGGGTTGTGGGAATTAAAAGGATTCATTTTTCATATTCAAGGAAGAAAAGTTTTGTTGACTCAAGTCCCAAGTCGTGAATGAATAGCCACCATTATTTAGGAAAAAAATTTAGCGTCAGTACACAAGCTATGAAAATCAGCCAATCAGCGATAATTTCACTCCGGGTTTATTATGTTTCTCAAAATCAGCCAGTCATTCACAGCTTCTGAAAGAAAGTCAATGGCAGTCCCTGAAAATTAGCCAATCATTGACAGCGCTAGGATTCTAGGCTCTAGCCAATCAGCTTCAAAGTCACACCACTGACTGACCTATTGAAGGATACTCAGTTGCCAGCTGTCTTGTTCCAGAGACCGCGCTAAAGTATGAGTGTGCAACTAAATACTCCAACTTCTTAAAAAAAAACAAAACAAAACCAAGAAACAAACAAAACACCAGTCCCTAAAGGATAGTCTCTCTAAAACTTTATATACAGCTTTAGCTTTGTTTAGAGAGTATCCCTTGAAGTACAACACTCCTTTGCAAGCAGATTTATTGTTTGTAAGCAAATTCAAAACTCTTTCAAGATTCAACTCATTTACAGTTAGGTGTGAATTTGGATGTTTTTTCAGATGCAGTGACTCAACTATGAGATACAGCAGATACAACCTTTTCAATTCTTGCTGTGGTTGCTATTACTGAATTTTTTTTTTTTTTTCTTTTCTTTTCTTGTTTGGTTGGTTTGGTTTTTTGAGGCGAGGTCTCACTATGTAGCCCATCCTGATCTTGAACTCACTATGTAGCCCAGGCTGGTCTAGAACTCAAGCAATCTTCCTGCCTCAGTCTCCCAAGTGCTTGGAATTACAGGTGAGCACCAATATACCCAGCCTACTATTATGAATTGTTTTAAAAAAATCAAATGAGTATATAAACAATTGCCCAACCATCACCACAATCATTTTTAGAACATTTTAATAACATAACAGAAGACCCTTTACCTGCTCACAGTCATTCCCTATTTCTCCTATCTCTGAATTTACCTATTCTGAGCATTTCACACAATCAGAATCATGTGTAGATGTATCCCAAAGCCTCATGCAGTCATAGGTGGGGCTTTTGTAGGGTGGCTGAATATAGAGTGTGTGACTAATTTATACTGCAAAGCAGGATTAAGTGTGCTAGCATTAAGGGTAAGTGATTGCTAAATCACCACTGATTGGTAGCCTGGATACAATACAAGGAGCAGAAAGGGGCTTGTCTTATTTCTTGCTTGCTTTGCTGTCTTATGCCTGCTATGAATGCTTTCTCCTCTTCCATGCCTGTCTGCCATGCTACCCTGCCTTGGAGCTAGCCAATTATGGACTGAAACCTCTACAAACTGAGCTGAATAAACCTTTCCCCTTTTCACTTTTGTTGTTGGGCATCTTATCTCAAAAAGAGAAAAGTAAGAAACATACATTATGTAGTCTTTTGGCACTGGCTTCAACAGTGTGATATTTATAAGGATTATCTGTGTTGTCACATGGATCAGAATTTTGTTCCTTTTGTAAAAATTTTATTTACTTTTTTTGTCATTTGGAGACAGGGTCTTGCTATGCAGTTCAGGCTGGCCTTAAGCTCACTTTGTAACCCAGGCTGGTCTCAAATCGCAACAATCTTTTTGTTTCAGTCCTCCCAAGTGCTGCTGGTCTCTTACTTTTGAATATTACTTGGTAATTAATGGAATTGTATTCTATTACATACTGCATCTTGCATATCCATTTATCAGTTAATGGATATTTGAATTATTATCAGAAGAGGGTTTTTTTCCCCATTATTTTTTTGGTAATATTTTTTCTTTTTTTCCTATTTTGAGATAGGTTCTCACCATGTGGTCCTAGCTGTCCTTGAGCTCACTGTGTGAGGAATGCTGGCCTTGAACTTGTAATCCTCCTGCCTCAGCTTTCTTAGTGCCGAGAATATAGGTGTGTACCACTATGTCCAACTTTTTTTAAAATGCTATTTGTCTTAAATGTAAATTGTAATAGCTTTTCATATATTCTAGCCCCATATCATAGATGATTTGCAGAATTTCTCTCCTAGGCTTGTATATTGTCTTTTTAAAAAAAAAAAAAAAAAAGATAAGGTCTCACTGTGTAATTCAGGTTGGCCTTGAACCTACTATGTATCGCAGGTTGGCCTCAAACTCATGGCAATTCTTCTGCCTCAGTCTCCTGAGTGCTGGGAGTACAGACATGCAACACCATGCCAAGCTGTACGTTGTCTTTTCGTATTCTTGATAGATGTCCTTTAAATTTTTATGTTTTGCTCATTTTTGCTAATTTAGGTGTCACAACTAAGAAACTATAGCCTAATCCAACATCATGAGGATTTATTTTTGTGTTTCTCATGAGAAGTTTGTTTGTGTGTTTGGTTGGTTAGTTTTCTTTTTTTTAAGCTTTTATTTATGTATTTATTTATTTATATGGTACAGAGTCTCACTATGCAGCTCAGACTCATAGTGATCCTCCTGTCTTAGCCTCCACAGCGCTGGGATTATAGGGGTGTGCCAACACATCTGGTTTTGGTGGCTAGCAGGGCCACACAGCATGAGATACTAGGGATTGAACTCAGGACCTTGTGCTTGCCGGGTAGGTGCTTAGACCATGAGCTATTTCCCCAGCTCCTGGTTGGTTAGTGTTTTGAGACATGGACTTGCTGTATAGTTAAGGCTGGCCTTAATACACAACAATCCTCCTCCCTCCTCACTCCCTATCCCTCACTTAACACTCCACACTGCATGTGCCACCAGGCCTGAATTTTTCTGAGAGGTTTTTTATTTTTTTAATAGAAGGGTAATAATGGTTAATGCATTATGTATTGTTACCTTTAAATTAGTTACTCAGGGGGTTGGGGATGTAGCTCAGTGGTACAGCCCCTGCCTAGCAAACTCAAGGCCCTGAGTTTGGTTCTCAGTACCAACCTCCCCCCCAAAAAAATAAAATAAATTAGTTATTTAGAATACAAGATATAGGCATTCTGTTGTCTGAAAAATATTTGCACAAGCCTTTCTTTGCAGTGAACTAAGAGAAATTAGTAGTATAATTATCTCAACTATCATATATACGTGATTTATTCTCTTATGACTATGATCTCAAGTTGCATCCATTTATTATAAGTCTCACATTTATCCTTCTTTATGGCTAAGTACTACTCCATTGTATAAAAATACCACATCTTTTTTATTCATTCCTTGGCTGATGGGCATTTGGATTGTTTCCAAGCTCTAGCTATTACAATTTGTGCTGCTATAAAGATAGGTATGCATGTATCTCTATAGCATGATGTTTTTAATTATTCTGGGAAGAATTAATTTTTTTGGCAGAACTGGGGATTGAACTCAGGCCCTTGCGCTTGCCAGGGAAGCGCTTATTCCACTAAACCATCTCCCCGGCCAAAGAATTAATTTTTTTGAGGAATCTTCTCGCCGATTTCCATAGCAGTTGCACCACTCTACACTCCCACCAACAATAGAGAAGGGTTCTAGCATTTGTTATTGGTTGATTTCTTGATGTTAGCCATTCTTTCTGGGGTGAGATAGAAACTCAATATTGTTTTAATTTGCATCTCTCAAATAACCAGTGATGTTGAACATTTTTTCATATATTTATTTGTTGTTTGTATTTCTTTATCTGAAAAGTATGTATTTATTTCAGATGCCCATTTTGGATTGGATCTTTAAATTTGGGAGGTTTAATATTTTTCAGTTCTTTCTAAGTTCTTGATATTAATCCTTTGTCTGAGAAACAGCATCTGGCAAACATTTTTTCCTACATTTTGGGTTTTCTGTTCACTCTCTTAGTGGTTTCTCTTGCTGTGCAAATGCTTTTCAATAAAGCAGATCAGTTGTTGATTCTTCTGTGCAATCGGGGTTTTATTCATAAAGTCTTTGCCTACACCATTGTCTTCAAGAGTCTTCTGAAAGTTTTAATAGTCTTGGCTCCTTGGGCTGTGGATATAGCTCAGCAGCATAAGTACCTGTCTGGCAAGTAAAGGTCCTGAGTTCAATCCCTCGTACAAAA